TCTGAAATTTTCATTAAAACATTTCAGTTGATTGATAAAAGGCTTTTCAAGCACCTTCCTTTGGAAAACAAAATGCGTTATGTCAGGAGTAGCCACGGATCCCTTTGTGACACGTTTAAGGGGTAGAAAAAAAAATTAGATTGGGGAAGCGTTCGCATCAGGTAGCGCTTTTTGGATATTTTTTTAGAGGGTACCTGAATATCAGTAAAATCAAGAAGTGATTTTACACATTTAAATGTCACTTTTTGCTGGGACGAGCTGCCTGACCATCGCTCCGGCGACGTGTCTGACAGCTGGGAAAGCGGTGGCCCTGGAAGGGCTGGGAAGACGGGCAGCCAGCCCCAGGCAGCCCGCAACCCGTGCAGCCCCCTGCGTTTTCCCGTGGTTAATACCTGCCCCCACTGGAAACTAGGAGTGTTTCTTAAAGGGAAAAAAAAGAAAAAAAAGAAAATATGGTATGGGGTGTGAGAGATGGGATTTCTCGCAGCGGTCCGGGAGCTGCCATCTGCTGGGCAGCAGTTTCTGAGGCAACCCCGGGGCTGCACGGAGGCTCCCTGCCCGCGTCGGGTCGCTCCTCGGGGAGAAGCTCCTTCTTGATGGTGTCTTTTGAGAAAGAGCCAGAGGTGGTCGGCTTAGCGATGCTGGTGAAGTGTTTTGGAGGAAACGGACCCCAAGCCACTCACTCTTCTCACCCGCCTCAGGGTTGAACTGGAACGGCTCGGCTGGGAGGGGATGCCCTTGGGCCCCACAACAGGCAACCCAGCCCCTCTTATCGGTGAGCTTGGACGATGCTCTTCTGGCCAGTAAAATGCCAAGATTGCAACTGGGGAAATACATTGCCCAGCATCCTTTTTACTTCCTCCTCCTCCTCCCATCACCATTACAGGGCAATCACCACACATGGAAGCATGGATCCAGTTCCTGTTGATGGGAGTATCTGCTGGGAGCTTGGTGAGAAGCTAGGGAAAAAAAAAAAGCTTCTTTTCCACAGGAAAAAAAGGTTACTTCCACAAACTATCTTCTCTCTGAGTAGCAGGGGGTGACATTCTGGAGATGAGCCCCAATAGCACGTGTTAAGGGCATGCACTGGCTGTTAGCATCATACTGGTTAGCTAAGGAAACAACCACAGAGTTGGTTTTGGGCTGTTTTTAAGTTTTATAACAATCATCCTAAAATACTGAACTCTGAGAGGGCTCAGCAGATTAGTATTCATTTTAAACAGCAACCAAAATAACAAAAATAAGAGATCCACATGCAATTTTCTCCCTCCAGGAGAAAGAGGTAAGACCTAGTGCTTGACATGTACTCAGTTACATCTTTAAAGGGACAGATAAAGATGTAGGCGTCTGTGTATAGAAACATCATAACCTATATTGGAGCAGTGGTTCCTAAAGTTCAGCCAACTGACCCATAATCTTTCACATGGACAATCTTACACCCTGGTCTTACACTCAAGGAATTAAAAGAAAATTCTCTTTGGCACAAGGCTTCACCACCAAGGCTATGATGAGTGGTCCGGGCAATGGCTAATATACAGACCCCACCTTGGCTGCAGTTGCTCTAGAGTAAGAGCGGCTAGCCTTGTGTTGTTTCCTCAAGAACTCAGACAGTCTTAAGGACATTTAGGAGAGAAAAAAAAAAAAAACACCCCAAGTGACTGAGAGCAGCAGGCTGGGGCTCAGGGGGGTCAGTTTGCAGCTCCACCGTTCCCACATAACCTGGTGCACTCCGGTCTCCGGCTTCTTTGCATCCTCTGACAATACCACCTCCTTCCAGGGGGTGCAAGAAGTTTAGAAAAAGCAATGTATCGGGGCTGTCTCAATTACTTCTCACTTTAGTTTTAAATATATTTTTGCACACATTCTTTGTATTAAGTGAACTAACTTGGATTTTGCATTTGGGGTGGGGATGCTCAGTAGCAGCAGTCAGCATGATCTAAACCCAAGACCACATGCAAGAAGCTGCTGACACAGAGCCCTCTCTCTAATCCTTCATAGAAACCTTTCCTATTCACTTGCGAGACAACCTGCGCCTCTGATCCACTCTGCACAGAGTTCTGTCATGTTTGCCAGGAACAAGATGGACAGAAACTAACTGTAAGGCTCACAGAGCCAGACTGGGATGCATCATCAATAGATCTAAAAGGTTCTTGTTTCGTACATATGTTACAATCCGTCAAAGGCAAGCTTACGGAACATCTGCTGTCAAAGTAAAGACACGAGGCAGCAAGTCGTCGCGTGGAATAGGTATTGACCTTATGAGTTTGTTAGCTTTCAAAAAAGACACATTATACAGGTTGCACGTAACAGCTACAGGTATGGTGGGATCTGCTGGACTGAGTTGGATGAGCAGTACCAAGACACAAAACGCGCCTTTGTTTTCTGAAATACTGCCCCCAAACCCAATTTCTGGTTAAAGGCAGAAGTTTAAGAATGTTTTAAAATCTACATCCAGACTTTAGAAACCTTGCAAGAAAATTAACTGCAATTAGAGGGGAAAGATGCTAAATAACAGTTTACCAAACCAGAATACAACTTGTTTCATAGTCAACTAGACTGAAATCGGCGGAAAGCAAGTCACTGATGGTTTGCTCCCAGCATGCAAGCCCTTGCGCCGCCTCGCGTAGGACCCTTGACACACGACCCCCTGCCGCCATACCACGTGCTGTTTGTAACATTTCAGACCCTTGATATCGATATATGTGCATCAGAAAAATCAGAAACCTGCAAGGGTGATGTTAAAGTGATTGGGAAGAGGGCGAGGGAGCAGCACAAAAATCCTCCTCTGCCCATCGTGCCTTCTCTTTTCCCTGGAGTACTGTTGCTAGTGGTAAGGGAAAGCTGCAATCAGAGCCCTGGAGCAGTGTAGGAAGAACAAAAGGACAGTGGGTACGGGGGGCTCATCACCACGCTGCAGGGCTTATTAGATGGAAGAAAGTCGTCAGTTCTCTCTCATTTTTAGCTCAGGGAAAAAAAAAAAAAGAAGTCCCAATGTCTACTTCTTCTGAAGCAGTAAATCATGAACTGGGCAGTGCAGCTGGAGAAGGGAGGGGAACAAGTTGAAAAGAAGAGCCTCTTCCTGCAGCAGCGAGATATCAGATGGCTCAGTCCTCCCCCCAAAACCTCACCCGTAGAGAAGTTAAAATTGATGGCAAACCCCTGGCCTGCAGAGAGCAATTTATAGCTATTGTTTCAGACTCTATCATCCCCACAACTGCCGTAACTCAATTAAGACTGTGCCACCCAGAGGAATAGATTGCTCTGCACCTCTCAGATTTCTGCAACGCTGAGGCTGTACTCATATAATCTTTGATATCAGACAAATCTGATACAGATCAGACATCCAGCTTCCATCAAATGCATTACAACCCAAGCGACTCTTTAGGAGTCTGCAGGAGGAAAAGGTAGCACACTAGAAACACACGTACAGTATAAAGCTTTTGTATAGATAAAGGAGGGCTACTGCTGTCTAAAACAAAACAGAAAGTGGTGACCATGTACCAGAGGAGCACTTTGCATCGTGTGGCCGTGACATTCTTCCTCCAGTACCAGACATCCCCAAGCCAGATTTAGTCTCCTCTAGAACCACAGTGTCAGCTGCAGATAAAGGCAAACTGCCAGAATCTGTAAGAGCTCGCAGCTGACTACGTGCACCAGTGGAGCCTACGCTGTCCGAGCGTTACAGCAAAATTTACTGGGGACTGGAAGAACAAACACTGACCTCAACTATTGTAATACCATACCCTCCATTGAACAAAACTTCAAAACCACTCAGTGTTTTCAGTGCGTTTGCTTGACCTCATCTCCAGAACCTCTCCCCATCTTCAAAACGCCGCGCTGCACGGTGGCCGCGCTACAAGGAAGAGCCATCAGGCCCTAGGAGGAGTGGTAGCGCGTGAGCAGGCAGCTCAGCGCGCAGGGCTCAGGCACGATGGCCGTCCCAGGCAGCCCTGCCTTCTTCAGCTATTTGTTCCCAGTCTTGTATTGCCTCCTGCTGACAACGCTTTTTGTAAAGGCTGGAATCTGCTCCAGCTGGAAAAAAAACCCCCAAAACACGGGGGAAAGAGGAACACGTTCAGTACATGTCAGCCAGATTAGCTCCCCGACCTGCCTGACTACACAAGAGAGCCCAGGAACTGCACTTCCACCGCCACCACCAGTTGTTTTAAGCATCTGAACCAACTCACTTTAAAGCCAAGCCCTGGTGTCTTCTCAGGAAACCACCAACAATCTGCGGGACATGTAGCAATTTGCTAATGCAGATTTTATACTGTATACACACACACACACTTTATACACATAAACATTTCAATAAAATGACATTAATTTAATTCTTTCAGTTCTGGCATTTACACTTGCAGTCCAAGACTGCCTATGCTATCTCCCCTACCTTTTGTGGGTCCACGAAGCGCAGCTACCACAGGACTTTGCGGGCAGGTGGCAGAGCCACACTGGTAGGACGCTTCAACAAAGCAGTTTCACAGCGGTGCAGTTACACACTCAGAAACCCCCCACCTCCGCCAATGCCATTTCAGTTATACAATTTTCGACTTCCATTAGTTTGTTTAGTCGACTGCAAATTTTCCTCCCCCAATCACAACTTTAAAAAAATTTTTAGATAAAGATCAACAAATGATGTAATTAGAATGTTGTTTAGAGGCAGACAGCATACTTCTTAGGAAATCCCTCTGCGGGCTTTTAAAACACCTATTTCAGCCCAAACCTGGTATGTTTAAATTCCCCCTTTGTTGTCAAGAAACAAGAATGATTTTTTTTCATCAACTGAATGTGGTTGAGATTCAGCAATGTAAATCAAATATCCAATGACAACTAAAAAGGTGGTATTCACGTCCAAAAATAGCTGCTCAAAGCAGATCCAAAGCAAATTCCAAATACAAAATTACAATATCCGTATATAGCAGATGCTGAAAAACAGAAGGTAAAATTTCCCTGCAGCATCTGTGAGTCGACCTCCAAGGTTACACCCGTGCTGCATGCTCAGCCAGGTCCCTGCTGTCTGCCTACAAGCGAGCCTTCAGCCTGGATTACAGATCCCATCCGACCAGGCTCTCAAAATCCATCCCGGCCCAGAGAGAGGTCTGCCTCACCCGAGTGAGCTGTGGTGTCGTGCACAGAAGTACCTCGGTACTAGACTAAGAGCTGCCCTCCAGTAAAGACTGGGGTTATTCCTTTCCTATCCTCTGGTTCAGCTCAAAAATAAAACAGGATGTCTTAAAATATCTGTAGTTTAAGTGAACCTGTTTGACTTTATCCTGGACACCATGAAGGAAATACCTCACACAGCCAGTGTTGTTTCAGCTGGTAGATAAAACTGCTAAATAGAAGATGAGCGCAGCATCTGCTGTCTCTCGTTTGAGATTCGAATCCCTAATCTGGTCACAAAAGCAGCAGACTAATAAATTTGGGCACCAAAGCTCACGGCTAGGTCATAAAAGCAGAAATAAGAGAGAGTATTCATTTGTGCAGATCATTTTCTCTTATCCGGGAAGGAGCAGAGGCAGAACGGCAACGACTCCCGAGAGAGGAGAGGGTAAGGCGAGTACAGCGGTGGCAGCCTCGAGTAAGATGAGACACGGAGTATGGCTGCGCACCTCAAGAATGAAAATAAACTGACTCTGAAGCCGCACACTTAAAGGGGAGTACTTTGCCAGTCTCGTGTTCTCCCCTCAGGAGAAGCAGCCCGCTTTCCCACCAGCAGCTGCTTGAAAGTAATCTGATTTACAAACAAGCACGTCAAAAATAGCACTGGGCTTACTCTACAGAAAAACCCCAGATTGTTAGCACTTACACCCAAGAAGCCCCCTTCCACAATTCCCCAAAGCACACATTCAGCAAAATACAGCCTATATCACTAAAACAGTAAAGAAATAAAAACTGACTGTTCAGTCCATTCCAGGATAAACGTAATTAGGAACCTTAATGAACACTTTCCTCCATATTAATCAATTTTAAAGTAGTACTAATCCAAATGCTAACATATGGGATACTGAAATCTAGACCTGCTTAACTAATAAAACAAAAAAATGAACTACGAGCAGCATCTGTTTTTTATCGGGGGTATTATCAACTTAGTGGGAATATTTTTTAAGTACAAAGTTATTAATGGCATATAATTTGGTAAACTTTGATCTATACATCTTACCAAGTCTCATTAATTGTCAGTGTATGTGAAAGCATAACATGCATCACTATTTCCTCCAACACCTTTTTAGTTCTTTACCTGAGCAACAGAATACTTTTCCCTTAACATTAATAATAAAAAACCCACCGTACTTTTCCAGAAAAACTAGATTTTCTGTGAGGTTGAGTTCTTCTTTGTGGATTTTACCACAGCCTAACCTAGTGTACCTACTTTCACAACAATAAATCCTCTTCCCTGTGCCCAAGTTACCACAACAGACACAATTACAGAACGTGGATCCCATCCTGGATGAAGTCAAACAAAGGTTATGCTCTGTATCGATGAATGGTACTTCAGCAGGCAACATACGGCAGGACTGGTACTGTAATTATTTCCATCCTTGAAATGAGAGACATTTTAAAAACACAGGCTTTCAGGGCAACTAATTCTTGCATCTGTCATCACATGTTATTGCCGAGTAATATGCAACCAACTGTAGCTAATCACATATAAATGGCATCTGTTACGCAGTCATGCAATATTTTATCCTATGCCCACATTGTAAAGCATGATAGATGAGTACCATTTTAAGAGGAATAAAAGGCTACTGAAAATACATATGGAAAAGTAAATTCTCATTTACTTTACTGAAACTTGGAAAATGTCTTAAATAAAACTATTTTATTTCCAATCTGTGCATTTGCATTCTCTCAGATTAATAATAAAAGAATCCGTTTTACTTTCAGTTATTTAGTTCCTACAGCATTTCAGCTGCAGACAGCAGTGAAATACTTCTTTGTTCCAACAGTTTTCTCTTTGCGAATTCAAGTCAGACTGACACTTTGCCTTTTTACTTCGAGAAGTTTCATGAAGCCTTGGTGTTGATTTCAGTGTATAATCTCTTTTTGGTTACACATTAAAAGCACTTTTTTGTTAATTACCAGATGTTAAAAGTGACACAAATCGGCGCAACAAAAGTTATTTTACAGAAGAATTTAAAGGATATGGTGAGTTTATGGAATCCTTTGATTAAATGTACTAAAAGACAAGTTACACCGACACAGACCACAGTACAAAAACCATTTACTGTTTCATTATTTTTAGGATTACCTTTAGCATTTTCAGCATTCACAATACAAAAGATGAAGACACCCCCCCAAGAAAAGATAACCACAGACACTTAAGTCTGTTCAAAGGCACTCAGCTTGCTTTTTGTATTTAAGTTCAGCAGACACCAAGTTGATATTGCTTTCATCATTTGCTGACCTAACAGTCTCTTCAAAAGTTCACACAACACAATAAATTCTACTTGGTGGCCAAGCACAAAAATACCATGTACTTATTTGGGATATTTATTTTGCGAGTAAATTATTCATGATCTTACAAAAACTCCAATTTTACCAGACTAGGCCTTTGGCCAATTTTGGTTTTTTTTTCCCTTTAACACGCTGTGCCTTAAGCTTCTTTCTCTGCCTGGAATTCATCCATATTGGGTACTGTCCATGCTGGTCTAGAAGAGTTTTTTTGTTTCGTTTATTATCTACGTCCATTTTGCAGTCATCTGAAAAAGAAAGGTATTTATAGTGAGCAAAATACATGAATCGCCTTCATGGAAGCTATTTTGTTACTAGATTCCCAAAACCGCTAAAAATATCCCTAGACACAACAGTATTTGTACACAGAGAGCTGAAGGCTTTATACACTGAATGCGCTTTCTAAACCAATGCAACTGCAACCCAGGAACTTCAACAGCTGACAGTAAATAACGCAGCATTTTCCCTAAAGGCCCATGTCTGGGCAAAGCACCTTGTTCTTCAGTCTGCCATCTGTTCCAATACTGTGCCTAAAAACATTGTGTGTGGTCTCCATCAAAAGCTGCAACCATACAGGAAGCCATAAGCTTACCGAAACATATGCACAATTAAATACTTTTTATGATGTAATGTTTAAGATCTGTTCGAAAAAATTAAATTAGTTTGAGCGGAAGATGAAGACAGGTAAAGAGAAGAACAAAGAGAAAAGCTGAAATACAGTGACGGTACAAAGCATGAGCCAGTGATGCTACATTTGCCTCAAAGTGAGCACAAGGTCAAGTCTAATACATTTAGAGACAGAAATAGAGGATTAATCTCTGGGATCAGGCAGACTGCCCGTGACATGGTCACTCCCAAGAATGGCTTCCCCAGCTAGTTAACACCACATGAACGTCACGTCTTGGTGAGACATCCAAGGCTACAAGAGGAACGCCTTGTTAAGTACAGATTTGAACCATGCTCTAGTATTTCATTTCAACCTTGTTTATAAACCATCCCTGTGCAACTCTAAAAGCTTTATCACAAGGTTTTACAGAGAGGAAAAAAAGACTTTTTTATGTTGCGCCTGTCTGACATTGGCAGACAAAGTTCACGAGGAAAAGGTCAACATGCTGCTTCAGCAGTTGAAACATGCCAACGGTCTACAGGGAGCTGCACCGCAGGGAACTGCTTAGGAAGCCCTAGTTGGGCTGTGGATACTTGTAGTCAGCAGAGAACCAGCACAGGGGCCTACTGCCTGCTGGCACAATCAAAGGCTGATCCAGCATGGGACAGGCAGCAAGAAAAAAAAAAAAAAGTCCCAGCTCCAGAAACCTCCTGAGACATCAGAGAAACACAACATGTCATAGAAGGAGAGATGGCCTCTAACACAACACAACACAAAAAACACCAACACCCCAAGAAAACCAACTCTACACACATAAGCAGCTTCTCCGATTCCTGCCCTATCGTATGACTGAGGTTGATCTGTTACATGAATTTTGACTGCGAAAAAGCACATCCACAATACAAGTCAGCTGCAACGTTAACTAAATGAAGGAATACTCCTGGACAAAAAATATCAGTTGTTCACATGGCACAACATTTTCACCATACTTTGCAATCTCAAGGAT